CACCGGGCCCGGGGCCCCCCAGCCTGCCTGACCCAGTTAATTGCCACCCTTACCTCGTTTCTGCTCCGCGGCTCCCGCGCCTTACCCTTGCATGTTTGCCAGGGGCGGCAGCAATTAGTTTAAGGGGGACCCCGGACCCCGTTCGGCCCCCTCTCGCACCGCTAGCGGGGTAGCGGGGAGCGGGGTCCCCTTAAGGCTCGCCAGGCTCCTGTTGCTCGCGGCTCGGCGGCTCGCGTTCAATGTGCACAAGGGCCAGGGCGAGCACAGCTCACCGTGGTCTGTGTGTGACGCCACCACGGGACGGGACAGGACGGGACGGGAGCTCCGCGTGCGGCCCTGCCGGGCCCTGCCTGCGACCCAGTCGGCTGCTCCTCGCGAAGGTCGCCGCCCGGGTTACACGGGGACAGTCGTGCTTGGTCGACCCGCATGGAGCGGCTTTCAGGAGGCGGAACATTGATCCTCCAGGCGCAATCCGATCGGGCGGAACTGGACGCGGACGAGCCGGCACGCCAGCGGACTATATATACACAGCGGGGGGCGTGCGTCTATCCGTCTACCATCATGCAAACCCAACAGTGGGCCTGTCCCACTGCGTGAGCAGGACACAGTGCGCGACACATTTACCTCGACATTTACAGTATTGAAAAACCTTCCAAACTACTGTCCTTTTTTTGACAGCAGTGCGCATATTCTACTACACAATGACACACAATTGCCAAAACGAGTCCTAATCGACCCGGCCCTGGCTCATTCGCTTGATCGCCATGGAAATAATCAGAACCATCGCCTTTATCGTCACAATAACGCAATAAACGGGCCATTTATCTTTAATCGAATTCATCAACGCTTTACCCCCCCCCCCCCCATATGGCGCGGGCGGCTCCGTGCCGGGGCGGGCGATGGACTTGATTAGGGGCGCCATCGATATGCATATTTGGCAAAGTGACGTGACGAGGCCGTCGGCTGCCGTCGGCGCGGGCGCCATGAGCCGTCCTGCGAGCTGCCATCCCGTGGCGCACCGTGGCGTGACCGCGCTGACCGGACCAGCGGCCGCCAGCGGCTGCACTGCGAGGGAAAACGGGAACCGAATGAGCCATTGATGCCTCCCCCCAATTGTGTGTGTGTGGGGGGGGGGGGATTGTATTTTACTGCCATAATGTAATCGAAGATTTGTTTGTCACTCTCTCTCTGACTAGAATGGTGGTGCGAACAAAGGTGTGACGACGTGACGGTCTGGTAACAAATACCTTTTTTGTGGGCAGTGCTCAACCTGCTGGACGAGCTGGGCGGCTACCAGCCGATGAACGCGACGCCGGACATCAACAAGCTGCTCGCGTCCATCGCCACGCTCAACGGCGGCCCCATGTTCCGGCTGTCGGCCGACCAGGACCTGCAGAACCGCTCCCGCTACGCGCTCTACGTGGACACGCCCAAGCTGCCGTGGATGGCCACGCACCCGACCTTCTACAGCGAGCACCTGGTGCAGCCCGGGCCGCTGCCGCACCTCCGCGCGCTGCTGCCGCCGCCGCAGGTCAGTCCAACAGCGTCACAATAATACGGACCCTTCATAAAATACTCGGCAACTGAAACCAGGCGTCCAACTACAAATAGTCAGTGTTTGATTCTTTGTGCTTGCGTGGGGCGGTATTACTTAAAGTATGTAACCGGTCATTATAAAACGGTTCGTGCAAATCGTTCCCCCAGGCGGGGCGGGCCTGGATGAGACCGAGCCCGAGCCCTGCTTAGCTCAGCATACGGAACTGCCTGATAGCGAGCTTGGCCTCCTCGGGTCGCTCCGCCCTGCTCCGCCCTGCTACAGGCCGGCTGCGCGCCCCTGCGCCAGCAGCTGGCTTTGTGATTGCGTAGGCTGTCCGGGGACTCTCGGGGATATCGGTTTCAGCTGAGAGGTGAAAGGGGTGAAGGCCGAGGGGGAAATGAGAGGCCCATCCCAGCTCTGTTTTTTTTCTTCTTCTTTTTGTGGCCCCGCTGGACTTTAAATATCAAAGTATCGGAATCGACTCAATCATCGAGCAATTTTCTGTTGTTGTGTAACGAGGTGTGGGCCCCACCCTCCCTAAACATTCCAGAGATACTTTGGTTTACAGTGTGCGCCATTTGGGGTAGAAACGGAGGGAGGAGTCTCTAGGGGAGGAAACCGTAACGTAGTACGTTTTAATTTGGTGGACGGCAGGGAGCGGAGAGGTGAAGGGGGGGGG